TCAACGCCTTGCACAACTTACCTTTATATTTTTATAAGGCACCCAAATGCAAATTAGCATCTGGATGAGTGGGTAAACTACCAAGAAACTAGATAATCCGCTTTCCAAAAATATGCTCGAAGCAATTAGTCCGTAATCTGATCACAGATGACAAGGTGGAGCACAAGTATGTTCACGCCCTGCCCACCATTTTGTATATCTGTATCGCTATAGCTAAAATGCGGTTCCATTGATGTAATCTCGTTAGGTAAACCGGTCTTTGGACCATGACAGTGGCCACAACGCCTACTATTTGTAAAATGCAGGCATTTCGTCTGCTTGTCTCTCTTGCTCTCCAGAGGAAGGTTGAGTTGAGTTTGAGTTGAGTTTGAGTTATAATGCTTTGTTTATGTGACTATCTGACGTTCGGCGGTCACTTTAGGATTTGTCTGACCTTTGTACTTGTGGGCTGGCCTGTAGGAACTGCTTGCCTACTTTCATGCCCTTGAACCACGGACTTCAAGAGAGGTCTAGTTGCAGTAGATTTATTAGGCATTAAATACAGGACGAACGGGGATAGGAGTATTGATGAGCCGAATAGCAGATATCACCCGGAGAGGGATTCCTCACGGTCCTCACGCACGGGATTCGCGTTACAAATTTGGTTCTTGCCTCCTCCCTATCAAGGTCAACTTAAACACTAGTATATATTACAAAGCTTCCTCTTTCAAGCACTGCCCTCGGTGCTGATCAGTAGAGTTCCGTCGGCGACTTCCCTCTTTCCGCCAACCTATAGACTTCGTCTTCGTAACCTACTGGGGAAGGACCCGTATATAGCCTAATCTTGTTATTGATGTACTGTTAGAGGCCGAGTAGCGATCTCTAAATTCCGAATCAGATAATTCGTGGGCAACAGGATTTTAATTATCCGGTAGGGTACCTTGCTCCAGGGGTGGTAGAATTTCCGATGGGTTCCTGGCGGGGAAATTGGTCTACACAAATGCACCAAATCGCTTTTTTTAATGACGCTTGTTCGACTTCTTTTGCCTAGTGTATGCTTTATCAGCTGTCTGTGCGCTGCGTCAAACACTTTCCTGAGGTTTTCCTTTAGTCGCAAGGCATACTGAGGGACGTTATCTACCGACGGTTTCTTACGGGGGAACGAAATGTCAAAAGGGACTCTCATTTTACCACCCTTTAGCATCTTGAGTGGTGCGACCTCAGTCGATCTGTGATCGGAGGCTCGGTAGGTGAGGAGGACCCGTCCTAGGTATAGGTCCTAATCCTCGGTCTGCACCTCTTTATTAAAGGCCTTCAATAAGTTGACAAGAGTACTATTTGTCCTCTCTATTTGCCCATTCCCCTGAAGGTGACCCGGCGTCGCACGCATTTTAATGGTTTCAAGGGCTTCGCACAGCTCTTTGAAGAAACAACTTCCAAAGTTCGTCCCTTGGTCGCTATGAGCTGCATCAGGCACGCCATTTTGGCAGAGCTAGCGATTGAAAAATGCGGTTTCTATTGTTTCAGCATCCTGCACCTGTAATGGCTCGGCTTCTCCGACCTTGATGAAATAGTCTACCATCACCGAAATATAACGGTTCCCTCTCGGAGTCGTGGGAAGCGAA